ACAGGGTAAATTGTCTCTTCCCAAATTCTGAAAGGCTTCTTTTGACAATGCTTGAGGAAGTCACCATCCATCCAAACTTTTTGGCCGCTGCAGTCCCCAAGCTTCTGCTGGTGGTAACTAGAAGACAAAAGAGGGCGTCGTTGTCCTGTGAAACACAGCCCAAGGCCCCACAGCACTGGCTGCTCTGCACCTGCGTGTCTGGAAAGACGGGTCGGTGAGGCTATTTAAACTGCAGAGGTGTGTGATAGACACATGGTGGCATTTACGACAGTATCTTTGTAGAGCTAGTGCCTGAACTCTGCAGGTGCTTTTGGATGTCCAGCTAGATACAAAACATTTCTGGAAATTGAGTCTCAGGGCCCGTGTGTTGTGTATATTTTGTTACATAAGGCACAAATAGCCCAGTAAAACGGGGACCTCCTTTCTGTAACTCACTGACCTAAGGCAGCTCACCTGATGTGAAACAAAGTTCTCCAGGGCAGAGCTGCCAGCTCCACCAGCTTCAAGGAGACTTTGGAGAGGAGGATTCCTCAGGCATTGATAGAATCAAAGCTCCCCAAGTAATTTTTCCCAGGAGCTGGAGGGGAGGAGAGTGGCCAGAGCTATGACTGAGACTTGTCTTATGTTCACGGAGCTCAAAGGGAGCAGAGATCCCAGCAGCCTCTAGGAAGATCTGGACAAGTTATGCCATGGGATCCTCATTTTCTGCTGAGTGCTAAGCAGGACTTTTGCCAAAGTAGAAGGTCTCTTATTTACACATCGTCCGGGCAAAGCGCTTACTGCCAGTAACAATGTTCAGAAAGTCAGAGAAATCCACTGTCCTGTCCCCTGCAGGCAAGTGGCATCTCCATTTGCAAGGTGGTTTTCTGCTGTAATGAAATGCTGGTGCGGGCAGCTCAGAGCTGCTGGGTCAAGTGGATTTCCACCATGGCCAGGTCAGAGCCCAGATTATCCACAGTGGCTGTGTCCTCTGTTGGAAACCTCTGCGTGCTGGCAGTCAGCACAGAGAGACTTGGCAAAAAAAATTTTAAAATTATCAATAATAGAGACTCCTTTGCCTTTCACCTACTCTTTCCATCTTAGGATCTAAAGGACTGTAGCCACAATAATGCAATGAAACACCCTCCCCCCAGGCAGGGTGGGATGCTGAGGCCAAGAAGGATTAAATTCACTTTCCATGGCCATTCATCACCCATCACCTCCCTCCATGCCGCACCACATGCAACACGCTCTAGACACAGCCCCCTTCTCCTCTGATACGCTGAGGGACGGTGTTTATATCTTGCTGAGACACAGAGTTCATGCTGTGCCCCCTGTGCCAAATAATACAAAGCAAAAATGCAACACAAGATGAAAGGGAAGGGAGAAATGGAGAGAATTTAACCTCTGCTGAGAGTGCGGCGTATCCCACGGCAGCTGTGGGCAAAGTATGAGCTGCAGAGACCCAGCAGCCCCGCTGTGGGGCTGTTGCTGGGCTGCTGGCTGGAAGAGACATGTAGGAGCAGAGAGAGCAAGGAAGGAAATAGAAGTTTCCACCTGGAATGTGTCCTAGGGCTTCCTGCAGCTCCTCACTGGCTACAGCGACCTCCAGGGTGCCCATGTGGGAATATGCATCTTGGATATCAGTCACATCCCCTGGGGTATGAGTGAAGATCGAGCTTAGTCAACGGGGAAATATGTTTGAGGAAGGGGAGCCCAAAATGCAACAAGAGTTTGCAGGGAGGGTCTTGGCTGCAGCTTTAAATGTCTCACCAAAAGGGCAGTTTACAACACTGAGAACTCTCATATCCATAAAGGATTTGGTGATTTTAAAGAATCTTACTCCAAAACTGCTTCCCAAACCAGGGCATTTTTGGCCAGATGGAGGCTGACATTTCTCCAGGGCACAGCACTCTTTCAGCCCGGGCTAACTTCAACTCCTTTACGCCCCTGGAGATGCTATAATGGATAAATCCCAGAGCATCTCAGTCTCACCTCTCAGCTGACCGATCTCCTAGCAAGAAGTCGGGCTAAAGACCTCCTGAGGTCCCTTCCAACCTGAATTATTCTGTGATTTTGAGCCCTGAGAAATGTCAGCATTTTGGCACTTTTTTTAATGCCGATTCTTCCTCTTCTTCTTCCCCAAGTCTTAAGCTTTCTGCCCAACGTTGGCTCCAGATCCTGAACAATCCCAAAGTGCCGATACACTCATCACCCACAGCTGTGTCCTCCAGTGCCTCCTGGTGATTCTGGTCCAATAAGTGGATTTCCACTGGGAGTAGCTGAGACCTCACCTCTCCAACACTGACCGACTTCCCTTGAAGTAGGGAGATGTGTTTTGTTTCAGAAAATTTCCTGGAAAACAGTTCTGACTTGTGAATGGGACAGAATGCACCTTAAATCATCTCACAGCTGCATCAGGAAGCACTTTGCTTGTTCCTGGATTTATTAACAGACACCACTTTACAAAAGGAGTTGGTGTATTAATGGGCTCCAAGAAGAGGGAGCACTTCAGCGCTTTCAGAAATAAAAGTAGTATTAAAAAGAACCCCGGCCTGAAGTGTTGCTGTAGGAACTGTGTCTGTGGGATGGGTTGCAGAGTGTTCCCACTCTCTGGAAACTTCTAGGGGGAAAATTTCCCTGAGGATCCCTGTCAGCAGTGGGAGACGATGGGAAAGCAGCACAGAAAGGTGGAAAGTGTCTGACTGAGCGCATACAGACATCACCATCTAGTGGGCCCTCACACCAACAGCCTCAACACAGCCCAAAATTTGCAGGTTTCAGCATGGCTGGAGTTATTCCCGCTTGCAAATGGCCTCTCTCAGGGATCTGAGAGCAACCACCACCTCCATCCCCTGCCCTAGAAGGAACCTCTTGCTTCTCACCTCCTTTACGCCGACCAGCGCTCTCCGGCTCACTCTGTACTGGAGCAGCCCCAGCCAGCCTGTTGGGGTCTCATCCTGCTTCTTCGCGTTACAGCCAAGCTCTACCCTGGGCACCCCTTTGCCTCCCTCTCAGCCCACCCTGCAGCTGAAATGCTCCTCCTGGGGCCAAACCCAGCTGAGCCCAATCCAACCCAAACCCAGAGCCCACGTGGGTGCTGGGATCACCCACCTCGACCCCCTGCCTGGTGCAGCTGGGGACACTGAGTGCTGCCCCGGGTGCCTGAACACACTGCTCGGCCTGAGGATGCACTGTGGCCCAGGGGGTGTCAGAGAGATGGACAAACGCTTTTTCTAGCACCTTCTGTGGTCCCCAAACGCTGCTCTGAGGGGCGGCCGCTGGGTGTCTCTGCAGCCCTGTGCGGTGCCGAGTGGGTACACAGGGCTGGGGGACTCTGCTCCCAGGTTTAGCACCTTCACCCTCAGCTCAGCTCCCCTTGGGAGAGTCCTGCAGCGGTCCCAGCCCAGCTACCCTCTTCTGGGGGCTTTTGCAGCAGACTGGAGGGCTCACAGGCACCTGTGGGGCAGGATAGGCGGCTGCTGGGGTTCACCCTGCTCGCAGTGAAGTGAGTACCACCATCTGCAGCAGGCTCTGGCCTCCCCTGTGCCCCCAGACCTATTATCCACCCCTAGGGGGGCACCAGTAGCAGAGCAGAGACCCCT